TGCCTGGGCATGTATCCAGCAGTGAGACTCTGCACCCTGCCCCAATAGACAGATGGAGCTTAATACACACCTTACTGTACGTCCCTCAGCACTTGCCAATATACAAAGCGGCCATGTTCATTATATTTTAATTATTGAGATTTTTCCACTCAGAATAGGTTCACTTTCCCTTTGTAAAGCTGTGTACGTGTACGGCTTTGTGAGAGGATGAAAGTGTGGTTTGCTTGTTCCTGTATTGATATTTCTGGAGATAGTTCTTTAACGAGACTCTTTCCATCCCCAGCAGCTGCTTGGGCTACTCTTCTGGAACAAAGCCCTCAGTTCCTTATAGTGCAGAGTCGAAGTAACAAAATGAGAATCTGCGTAAACCCTAGAGATTTTTTTTTTTTGTGGGGGGGGGCGGTGTTGTTTTCAAAATCGTGTTTTTCTGGGCCCAGCAGCTGCAATGCAAATTGGATTTTACAGAGTGCCATTTGCACTGCCTCCTATAACATTTCAGCGGGAACTAAATTGCCATCGGTTCTGTTAAATGTAGTTTTACACTGTTTATCCCTTGACATTTTGAATGCTAGACTAGTGAAAATAGAATTACAGGCTGACTTGTTTAATAGCAACTGCCAGTGGTTTAATCTCACCCTTATGTTTTGTGTGCACAGCAAGTCAAACCACGTTATCTATATCTGTAGTGGTGATGTCTTACTTAATGCATTGCTGCTGTGGTTTAGCGGAACAACTGCTGCAGCAAAACACTGTGGCCTGTTTGGTTGTGTACATGCACCTCTCTACAGGCTAAGCTTCCAGAGAAAGCTTTGGAGTCGAAGGCAGGAACGGCCTTTTCCTGATGCGTGCCACCCAGTGACCAATGCAGTGCAGTCTACCTCCAGCAAGTTTAGTCTTTGTGCAAAGGCGTCTGCTCTCCCCCTTTGCAGTGAAGTATGTAGCAGTTAAGGACTTGCTTTGCTGTTACCCTAGAACAAGGTTGCTAGCCTGAATATCTCTGGGGGAAGATAAATATAAAAATTTTGATATAAGGAACAGGGCAGCACAATGGCTCTTTGGGAACACTATTACTTCATACCTCCAGGGTCGGGTTGGAATCCTGTTCTTGCTGTGCGTGCGTGTTACGGTATGGTTACGCTAAATTGTTTATAGTGTGTGTGACAGTGAGTAGTTTACACACCCTGTGGCGCCTTGCATCCCGTCCAGGGCGTCTCGCCGTGCATCCTGTGCTGAGCCTGGCCTCAGACCTCCCTACAGACATGGATACATGGATGTATGGCTGTAGGATTGCATCCAGGCAAACGTAATCCTGCCAGCAGCTATTGCCCCCGGTGGTGGGGGCATTTGGGGAGTATTACCCAACCCTGCGGCACAACGCTTGTGCCTGTGTACATGTTTTATCAATCTGTCAGCTGCCCTCTGTCTGCCATGTCACATTTGCTGTATGTGCGTTTTGTGTTCATCTGCTTTATGCCATTCAACTTGGAAATGAGAAATAAAGTGGGAGAAAACCTGCTTAATACCCCTACATAACGCCCTGTGCAACTGAACTGGGTTTAGGCCCAATGTGGGATCTTGCACAACAGTTCTGAAGTCGCACGAACATAGTCAAGATTGCAGATTTAGGTTTTGATTGGAGCTGTATTGCATCTATCTGAAATAGTACTTAACCTGAATAGCCATTTCATGAATGGTTTTGTAGGATATTTAAATATTTCTATATTTAATATAGAAGAAAAATAGTGGGTAGACAATGTTTTTTATGTCTTGCTCATGCTTAAATGTCATAAAAATGTTTTACTTATGGTAACTGAAAAAATAATATATAATTTGTATCTGAAACGTTACAAATGCATTATTAAATGCATTACTGCTGGGTGTAAATAAATAACTGCATGGGTGGAAGCTCAATGACTCGGGGGCTTCCACTATGACATACAGTTAAGATTACTAAATATTAGGGCTGCTCGATTATGGCAAAAATCATAATCGCAATTATTTTGGTCAATATTTAGATTACAATTATTTAATGCGATTACTCATTGACTTTGGAAATAATCATGCCTTTAGTGAACTTTTAACATCTTATTTCTATGAACTAATAAACTCCTACAAGTGTAATTCAATTGAGAAACAAATATTAAAAAAAAAAAAAAGGGCTGGATTTATAACGACAATATGGGTGATTCATTGTGAAACGAAATGTGGCACGATAATTGTTTTATCTCGATTTTGATTTGTTGTGATAATAATTGAAAGCCAACATCATAAATGAAATTATTCTATTAAGCGCCCAGCCCTAGTAAGTAATATGTTAGAATGACTTAAATCACCCTCGTGCATTGATGGGGCAACAGTACCAAATCACATGGCCTTTTCCCCCCTCTCCAGAAACTTTCCCTACGGAACTTCCAGAGTCTTAGCTGGCCTGGCATCAGTGGGGTTGACGGCTGCCTGTCAAGTGAAGTACCGCCTTCCTACTGCAACACTGACCTCTGTGGGACTGATTTCACCCCCGTGTGTGACCGTAACCCAGATCCCGAACAGAAAAATGGAGATGGCAGGGGTAGCACGGACGACTTGTCAAACGAAGCCCTGGACAGTGATTCCGTCACATCAGAGGATTTGACGGATAATGCAAAAGAAAGTGATACAGAGAGGGATGTCAGTCAGCTAGGAGGTGAACTGGACATTGAGCAGATTGAAAGGAACTGAGCACTTGGTTCTTTCAGATGATTGAGTTGACTGTGAAAGTAGAGGGAAGGGATGAAGAAAGTGATGACATGGTGGCGAACATTCATAACTATCAGAAGACTTGGTTTGCAGGGGCACTGCGGCATGCCTGTATGTGTCTGTCACTTGGGGTATGGTCTTCTCCCCCCCCATCCCCCTCTCTGGCTGCCTTTTCACCCTCAGGAGCAGGGAATAGCTGGTAAGTTGGAGTCACCGCTTCCATGGAAGATGTAGGGGGAGGGGTTGCTCAGTAGGGACTTCCCAACCTCTCCAGCAACCTGACGGCTCCTGTGCATCAATAAGGAGCAAATAAACAAAGAGGTTTGTATAAATTCTTGATGACGGGCCGCAAATGGCATTCTTAATACAGGGGCATATGATGGCCTGATGGAAAGGGCTTGGAGAGTGCCTCTTTCTGATCAACACCTTCCTCGACATACCGACACGCTTCATATTGCAAAATTACTGGGCTGTATTTTACAAGAAAAATAAATAAAAAATAACATGGAGTTTGCTCAGTTGGCCTGTTCTGCATCTCGGAAAGAAATTGTGCTTAAAGCATTAATTTGCATTTCTACAGTTTAATATACAAATTTCTATTGGAATAAACACTGATTTTTTTATTTTACTGTACTGCTAATATCTATATTTTTCTAAGTATGATTGTTAAATGCAGTCTGTTTGTTTGAATGGGGAAAAATACAGAAAAGATGTTTCTGTAACAACTGAATAAACATGCAGATTGTTTTATCGGGTCTCTTACTTTGGCCAGTAAGTACCAGTAAGCCTTTTTAATTGTGGGGGAAAAAAGAGAATTATATGCCACTTACAGGAAATTGTGCTTATTTTAGAAACCTAAGTTGCACATCTTACATTTCGTTACATACTGAACAAGGTTGGGTGGATTACTTTGGAGAATGAGGGTGCTTGTCTGATGTGGGACCCCGTGGAAACCTCCATAATCTCTAGCTGAGCACTCATTTACACATCTCTGCTCTCCTTTACACATCTCTGTTGTACAGTGGGGCTGAGCATGAGTTTTAATCCCATGCTCATAGACGGAGTTTCTCAACTTTTCCTGACATTGTTTGGATATCAGAGCAAGCAAACGCAGGGCTAAGATGACGTGCCCACTGAAGGAAGACTCAATCTACTTTTCAACAGTTATCTACATCTTCTCAGTGTTATGTATTTTTAATGTCTAAAACCTCGGACCCAAGCATAATTGGTGGACGGTGGCTTTATAAGCTGCCAAGAACAAAATCATTCCGCGAATGTAGGCCTTTCCTGATATAACTTATGCCAACATTTAAATAAAAGCACGTTTGATATGAGGCTACCAGCATAAATCTCAGAGCAACTGTTATATCCCTTAATTCAGCACCTAAGGTATCCTGCGCATCTCAGCTATTTGCTATAGATCTGTGCCAGCGCATGCACATTTGTGATGTTGGCAGCATCTTCCAGCAGGGCTTATGCTATGCAGATGTGGGCCAGCCATGTAATTCCCAGCTCTATGATGGTGCAGAACCACTACCCTGGTGTTCTGAGGCAGAGAATACAGCATATAGTTTCCTTTCATTAAAGGCTTTGCACTCCTGTGCACTAGAGCACAAGTGAACATGGCATCAGCTATGAAAGTGAAAATGTGACAATTCTGGGAGAAAAAGTGTTTTCTAGCTTTGCTACAGGTCTCTGTCATGAAATGCATCCACAAATCCAGAAAGGTAAAGTAAATGTGATACACACATACCTGGTTGATGGTTGGGTATTGTTGACTTTGAGATCGTTTGATGGTAAGTATGAACAGTAGCTCTGAGTTTCTTCTTTTGTTTGAGACAAAAAGAACCACACCTGCAATGTTGTAACCAGGTTCGGTTGAATGGTCACCTCTCCCTCTTGCCAGTATCTTGACCTTTAGCCTTTGGTAGCTGACACAGGGCAGAATGCTCACCAAGTATTGCAGTTAAGAAAGGCTTCTTGGCATCTGAAAGACTTCTGTTCAGAGCGTTGCATTTCCATCTAGATTAAAAGTACTCTTCTGAACCATCCAATCATTCCCAAAGGAAGCCCTAAAAAAATATTTGGTGTCCATTCTCTTAAATGTTTTCAGTGTCACTACGTATTGAAATATCAAACTCCTACCCTATAGTGTATTGTCCAAAAACTGCTGTTACAAGGCTGTGGGGCATGGAAAACATTCAAAACAAAGGAAAGGGCTGCCCTGTTTGGCCATTGAAAGTGAGAAACCTGTTCAAAGATTTTTTTCTCAAAACACAAAGGGAAAGTAACTGTGGCTGGTTATAGGCTGCAAACAAACCGGCACGTTTACATGGCTTTCAGAAGCACTCTGAAAATGCTCTGTGGTATCCGGTCAGCTGAGTCCCCACTTCCTGTCTGGCAGGAAGTGTGTGAGTGGGAAGTGTGCATATGAGAAGCTGAAATAGTAAAAGGCAAATAGTCAACAAGGTGGCAATACCCATTGGCCTATAAATAGAGTGCGGAGTGACAGCAGGTGATTAACGCAGAAACAAAGAAGAGCTGCACAACACAGATGTTAATAGGACTGTCAGGCACGGGAAAAAAACAATGTTTCTCTAAAAAGCTGAACAATACGTATCTTGTGGAATGATGGGAGATAAATGACCTATATATATCTAGGGCAAATGGAGTGAAATGAACAATTGATTGCGATAAACAACTTTTAACATAAACGTCAGTGTTTATTGATGTTCATTTAGTTTTTATCGCAGTTGGTTACAGACCACAACTGAATGAAGTAATCGATTAAAGTAATCAATTGCTCGCGGAACATGCCGATTCAAGTACTTTATCTCCACAATTATGGATACATTACTGTTTCAACACATTTTGCAAAACTCTACACACAGCTATCATTGTAAGCACACTTGTTCCTTTCGTAGAAACTCCACGGTCAGCAATCAAAACACAATGAGCAAATGCAGGAAAACACTCATCACCTGTGCAAACACAATAAATCAAAATGATTAACTTGGTTTCCTATGTGTGCTTTAATATAGTAACAGAAGAAGAGAGAGTACAGAGGGAGAGAGGTTTAGGAAGATGCAGAGGACAAGGAAAACATCTCAAATGAGTGATTTTGGTTGACATTGTCATCAACTATCACCATGAGAGAAGTTGGACAGCAGGTCCACCCCAATTTGAGTTGGTATACTGTAGTTGGAATCATTAGGCAAATTCACACTGAAAGTAGGCAAGTCTCACAGTAAAGTCACACAATTATGACTGTTTTCACTGTACAGGGGACAATTCATAGATCATCAAATGGTGGGAGAAAACATATCTTCAGTCTAGAGCAAGAAAAAAGAAATCGTTGCTTTACTGCTACAAATAATGCTTTCTTGAAGACAACAAGATATCATAGAGGACAATGACATGTTCCATAATATACAGAATGCTGCTATATCCACTACTGATGACATACTGAGAAATAACAGGGTCAGAATGAAGCAAGTCTATCAGTTCCCATTTGTGAGCAGTACAGGACATGTGATGAGCCAGAATTTGCACTGGCATTGAACTTCATTTTGGCTAGCTATTTTTTTCTGTTTTCTCCATCTCTGGCTGCGATGTGTATCACCCTCCCACTGCTCTACAAAATGCACGCTTCACAGATGTGGTGGACGGAGAAAACATGGTAAACAGATTTCCTGCTAGAACATACGTTTTACCGCAGGCTTGGGTTTCACTATTTGACAGCAACAAGAGAGATGCCCCCTGTGAATGTTTGGCCATAGATCATGCTCTAAATCAGTGGAGAGCAGAGATGGCTTTAGAGAGCCATAGGCAGAAGAAAAACATCTTAATGACTGTCTTTACTGATATGATGGCCTTGTAGGTATTACAAAGTCCTCAGCTGTGAGAAATAAAACTGCATGTACTGAACTGCAATTTCCATTTAGTCAATGTCCTGAAGACCGATTTTAATTGTGTAATATCTACTTATTCTCTCCAATAAGTGACATCACCAGAGGTGCCAGTCAGTTCGTCTTGAACTGTTCCTTCATCCATCTTCTTACCACCTATTCTGATCAGGGTCACTGGGAGGGACAGGGCCTATACCAGGCAGGCTAGGGTTTAAGGTAGTGGTACATTCTATTTGTGATGACATCCATTGTACCGGCATGTACCATCTTGCTTTAGATTGCAGGGGGAAACCTATGTAACAAGAAAATAATGGAAACTCCACAAGGGCATGAAGGTGCCCCCCTGGTCCTCCATGATAATGTTACTTATTGACTACGATGTAACAGCGCACTTAAATTATGCATGAGTGGTTTCCTGAAAATTAGTTATTAAACCATTTTTAATTTCTTATTAACCTCGTCCCTGGACTATGATCAATACATGGTGCTTCCTGTCTTCATTCACTTTTGAAATGGCTACTAGTACTACCGGAATCCAAATTAGATTTCCATCGTTGTATAATTATAGCTACATTAGGAAACTGAGAATCCTGTAACCTGACAACGCACATTCATTTCATCTACACCTTTGAGACTGGAGTCACTCATTTAGCAGTTAGTTATAGGATGCAGCCTAATAAAGAGTTACATTAGTCTGTCCTAAGTTCTGTAAAATAGCTATTAGAAAGGAGAAGACTGATTTTTTTTTTTTTTCGCACGTTCCTGTAAAAACAACATTTTCAAGAAAAGAGAAGAGATGGGACAGGAAAAATTATTATATACAAACACAGTGAACGAAACAATAATTCTTTGTCCACAATACTTTCATTAGGGTAGTGGATCTACATATACTTCCCTTAAATGTGTAGTCTACTTTCTGGCACAATGTAATAAAATGATTATGCACTAATAATACTTTAAATCAGCTAAAGCTAAAAGGCATTACATTATTTTATTTATAGACTGTAATATATTTCTTTGTAGACCATTAATCATTTAAATACGATGGGGCATCGCAACCACCTCTTCTTGCAGCAGTAAATGCCTGCACTTCCATGAGATGATTGGCATACTGTATCTCACTCTCTCTCATGCGTTGCCCTTCTCTCAGGCAGAGCCTTGTGGCAAAGCCTTGGGTACTTCATAGGGTTCTCCAATGGGCACCTCCTCAATCGACGTTTTGTTGACTAGCCCACGACACCTTGGCAAGGTTTAGCAGTGGAACTACTCCCTCATCGCTCAGGTCTGACCAACCTCTTCCCCACCAGCTTGATTGCACCAATGCTCACTCCTCTTTAACTACAGCCACCTGGACACTGTTTCTGCCCGTCTTGAGATATAAGTGACTAGCTTCTTACAGGCTGGACTTTTGAACCCAAGGACCCCCAGGGTTCTCCAGAGTGTCTGTCCTGGAAAACTCCTACACCCAACCTCAAATGGGAGCTTGCAGACCCTCCATCCTCTCTGTTGACTCCTCTGGACAAGGCGTTGATATTTCCCAAGCTTGTGCTCATCAGGCTCCTGAACTCTTTCCTCTCAAGGTACTGTCAACACCACCAGGGCCATCTGCTTCACTGCTGTGGACTAAAGGACTAGGTTTTGATGGAAGCTTGTGCTGATGATCTCATCTGGGAATTTTAGTTGCCTACCAAGGTCTAACTTGGTAGGCAACTAAAACTATGAAGAAGTTCATGGTTTTCGGAAAGTATTGGTAAATACTGGAAAAAGTCACATTGCAATGTTTTTCACATTTGAGTTCAATGTTTATAACTGTGCCTTCTGCTACTTAATGTGTTTCTGTCA